TGGGCTGCCATTGGGCAGTAAATGAAAACAAAGGAAAATGATTAATCATAAAAAAAAAAAGACTCTAGAGTTTCCATGCAGGGTTTTTAAAAGTGCAGAGAAATTAAATCACTGTGTGCAAACACAAACGCGCACACGCACATGCACACGCACACGCGCACACATGTGCACAAAAACACTCAAATGCATGCGCACACGCACACACATACACACTGACACGCACAAATACACATACACACACACATGCCCCTGCCCCCAGACTGAAAAATATCTATAGAAAATTGTTTTTAGGAGAAAAGGTTACAGTGCAAGCAAAGGAGAACGTGACCCCTTGCAGCAGCAAAACCAGAGAGGATAATACCGTGAATAATTTGCTTTTTATGCTCCAAAGCCTTAAGAAAACTTATATTCGAACAGTATGGGCCAATAAAAGTTTTATGATTCTGGAAGGGAGTGTAGACTGCTTGTCAGGCTAAAAATGCTCAATTTCTGTGGCTGATAAAGGGAGGAAGGCCCCCCCTCACCGAGGGGAAGGAGAGAGAGGGATGCTGACTACTGCTGGGAGAAAAGGGTGAAACGGCTTTAAAAGCTATTGCAAAAAGGGGCTAGGCTGCAGAAACGGCGAGTATTTGTGTGCATCCGTATTTTATACACATAGGTGTGCAAAGCTAGATAAATCCGTAGGTGCCTAGATAAATCCACATGTATATAAGGTTGACTTTACCTGAGAAATGATTTTGTGGTTCTTTTTATCTCTGATCTTTTTTAATAAATGGAGTGCCAGGTTAATAATTATAACCTCTGTGCAATAATAAATAACAATATAAAAGAGAGACGGGGCTTGTTTTTCTCCCCAGGACTACGGCTTGGCTATGCCCATCCATGCAGAGAGCAATTTACCATTCGGTGATGCTATAATTTAAAAGCATAAGAGCGTGCAAGCTTTGATTGGGATCGGATCAAATAACAATAGTCAAGGGCTTGGGCTAGAATCTGGTTTGTTACTGGCTTTTTTTCCTCTCCCTGATTATAATTTTCTGAGTCTCTCGTACCGGTCGCCATATTGCTGGATTTTCTGTCAGGGATTCCCAGGAACTGGTTAAAAACACGGAAAGCGAAGCCAATACAGAGGCTCAGAGCACGGCACATCTCATGCTTCCGTCAGATGTTTTCTCTATGGACTCCCACGCTCCCCTCTCCTATAACTCCTTACATCCTCCGTTTTAATTTATGTGACGGCATTAAAGAAGCAGGCCTGGTTTCATCTTAAAATATGGTTACTGCATTTCTCTCTGTCGTTTACTAAACATGTGAATTTCTTTTCACAAGGTGATGCCCTTCCCCTTGAGTAGGAAGAATTTCCTCCTCCTAATCGCTCCGCGTGATGTGTGGGAAAAAAAAACCCTCTTTCCCCAAGAGGGTGTTTTGTTCGCAACTTTTAGTGTTAGCAAAACCAGCGAAAGCAATTGAGAGCGGCTAGAAAGAGTTTCCCGGTTCCGTTTGCTTCCCAGATTATTTCGCTGTATTCTGGCTCTCCGGCGGCCCGCACTGTCCCTCAAAGAGCCGCGGCTCAATAGCAAATGTTAACGGCATAAGTTTGAAGGACGGTTAATAGCAAAGCCTTAAACCAAAAAAGCCTCTTCAATATGAACAAGTAAAAATGATCGGAAACCCAATCATTAATTTTGACATCAGTCCTGATCTGCCGGAACTGAGTAAGTTTATGCTGATTTCGATTAGCACAAATGTAAATCGTTGAATATGAAATATTTAGGGAAATTCAACCAAACTTTAAAGCCCCTAATCGAGGTGCATTTTGCAAATGCTTTTTATTTTCCTCACCTCTTTGCTAAACTACATTTCGGCCTCCGATTTAGCTTTAGATTTATTATGTGTTTCTCTGAAACCCTCACCACCCACACAGATGCTTTAACTGACAAAAGTTTCTAGGCTTCTCCCTGCGTGAATGCCGCCTGCCAGTCCTTCTCTGCTGCAAAATGGGAGAAATGGAGCTTGAACAAATAAACTAAGAACCAGCTAAATTTCCATTTTATTGCAAAGAGCTTTTTTCCCCTACAAATTCAAATGTTCTAGATTCCCAAATTCAGGGCTCTGGTTTAAACTTTTTGAATTCATTTTATTTTAAGTAACTCTTTTATTTTAAGTAACTCTTTAGCAAAAGCCAAAATTCTTTGCTGAGTGAATTAGGCCGACCTGTCAAAAGTCTTTCGAGAGAAAGATTGATTGTTTCTCTCTTCTTTTTGGTTTGTGCGGACCTGACCACTTTAAAAGAAAAAAAATCTTCCTGGCAAATGATTTTTCATTTTATTTATTTGTTTTGTAAACTCTGGAAGTGGAGCTGTTTATTGGCAAGGGGAAGGGGGGAAGAAGTTGGTAAGGAAGAAATGGGATTTCAAAGATATCCGTGACCTTAAAACACGTTTGGCCTTGAAGGAAAGTGTAAAGGATCCATTAAGGCTCGCTTTAGAAGCAGGCTTATACTCTGTTTCTTTAAAAGTAATTTAACAAGGCAAATCAGGCCGATTTAACTAAACTTGACTTGAAAGCTCACTTGATTTCATAAGTGCTTCATATCCAGACTCAGAAACAAAATTCTGAACCAAACCCTCCTGCTGGTCTGAACTTTTCAAGCTCTGCAACATCTCTATATAAATATGTAAATACACATACTCAGCTCCAGCTTCTGTTGCCAGACCCAAGATCCCTGCTCGCCCGGGGTTTAGGCTGCCCTTTCATCGGCTGCAGGCGGACCCCCGAAGGGAAAAGCCCCTTTTCCCACGCCCGATTCCCCCCCGTGGGTTCAGGCTTCCAGGAGCTCATTGAGCACCTCCCTCCACGGAGGCCCGCGGCGGGCAGGCAGCGCAGAGCAGGTGGGCAGGGAGGCAGCGCAGGGCAGTGAAGGCAGCAGAGGAAAGGCAGGCAGGACAGGCAGCACAGACAGGCAGCGCTGTGAAAACAGACAGGCAGCACAGGCAGGGAAGGCAGCAGAAGGAAAACAGGCAGGCAGGCAGCACAAGTAGGGAAGACAGCAGAGGGAAAGCAGGCAGGCAGGCAGCACAGGGAAAGCAGGCAGGCAGGGCAGGCAGCGCTGGGCAGCACAAGGCAGCGGCAGCCTGCCCGCACCCCACCGGTCCAGCCGAGGATGGATTAGCGTGGGGGGGAAAGGATGCTTTTCCTGGGGATCTTCTCTCGCTTTTTTTTTTTAATCAATTAAAGAAAATAATGCTTTCTGTTTGCCACCAGGCCCCGCCTGCCATTGGCCAGGGGTGGCCACGTGACCAGGAATTGGCTGCAATTTCGCCCCAGTCTCGAGTTTAATAGAGCAAGGTCCCCATACGCCTGTATTATCAGCAATATAACAATTATAAAAAGCCCGAGAACCATTATCATCACTGCCATAAAAACTAAGGCCCTCAGATTTCTTTCCCTCTTCCCCTCCTCCTTCCCCCCTCCTGCTTTTTAAACCCTGGGCCCTGGAAAAGCCATGAATTTTGAATTTGAGAGGGAGATCGGGTTTATAAATAGCCAGCCTTCGCTCGCAGAGTGCCTGACGTCTCTTCCCGCTGTCCTGGAGACATTTCAAACTTCATCAATCAAGGACTCGACATTAATTCCTCCTCCTTTTGAGCAAACCATCCTCAGCCTGAATCCTTGTTCCAGCAGCCAGGCAAGACCGAGGAGCCAAAAAAGAGCATCTCATGGCCTGCTCCAACCCCAGCCTCCGGTACAGCCCGGCCCCTTGGCAGCGGAATTCCCCTGGATGAAGGAGAAGAAATCGTCCAAGAAAGCTACCCAGGCTCCATCCTCTTCTTCATCCTCTTCCCCCCCAACATCTTCCTCGTTGCCGGTGCCTGCCGCAGGATCTCCTGCAGGTTCGTATAATGAGGGGGTGAGGGGGTGTTTGCCGAAATCGGAGAGGATTCGAATAATAAACAATTCCCCCCCACCCCACCAGCAGCCCTACC